TTCACGGTGGTCTCGATCTCCTGACCTTGTGATCCGCCCGCCTCGGCCTCCCAAAGTGCTGGGATTACAGGCGTGAGCCACCGCGCCCGGCCAACATTGAAGCCTTTAATCCAGTTGATTTTTTTACCATGGTGTGAGGTGAGGCAGGGATCCAAATTCAGTTTTATTCTACATGGAAGTCCCAGCAACATACTCCTAAGAATTTATTTATTCATTTATTTTTTGAGCCAGAGTCTCTCTCTGTCACCCAGGCAGGAGTGCAGTGGCACAATCTCGGCTCACTGCAACTTCCACCTCCTGGGTTCAAGCAATTCTCGTGCCTCAGCCTCCAAAGTAGCTCAGACTACAGGCACACACTACCATGCCCAGCTAATTTTTGTGTTTTTAGTAGAGATGGGGTTTTGCCATGTTGGCCAGGCTGGTCTTGAACTCCCGAACTCAGGTGATCACTGGCCTTGGCCTCCCACAGTGCTGGGATTACAGGCGTGAGCCACCGTGCCCAGGCCCTCCTAAGAATTTACCCTAGCAAAATGCATGCATGTATACATCAGTAGATACATTTATAGAAAGTATATATAATGGTCCAAAATAGAGGCATCCCACAGTCCATTAACAGGAGAATTAATATTTTAAAACTGCGATACACTCTTAGTAGCTGAAGTACAAAATTGCTGATATTTAACTATTTTTTTTTTTTTTTGGTTTCAGAAAAAGGCAATTCGATATGGCTCAGTCTAACATAATGGATTATTAAGCAGGAATAAATATGAATTAACTATAGCTTCTCACAACAAAATGGATGAGTCTCCCAAAACAATGCTTTTTTTGTTTGTTTGTTTGGTTTTGTTTTTTTGCATTTTTTTATAGGATGGGGTTTCATCATGTTGCCCAGGCTGGGCTCAAATTCCTTGGCTCAAGCAATCCCTCCACCTCGGCCTCCCAAAGTGCTGGGATTACAAGCTTGAGCCACTATGCCTAGCCCTGAAACAATGTTGAATGAAAAAAGCCATGTGATAGAATACAGTCCGTATGAGCCTATCAATATAAAGTTCTAATACCAGGCAAAATTAAACTAAAGTTTTTGGAGATGCAAACATGGAATTCTACAACTACGAATTATAGCAAGGAAATGATAAAAGTCGGGACAGTAGTCACCTCTATGGCAGAGGAAGGAGCTGGAATTGGGGAGGAGACAGGAGGGGGCTTCTGGAGAGCTGGAAAAATTTTTTTTTTTTTTCTTTTTTTTTTTTTTTTTTTTTTTTTACACCCCCTTTTTTTTTGGGCCCCCCCCCCCCCCCCATCTTTTTTTTTTTTTTTTTACGATGGGGTCTCGCTCAGTTGCCCAGGCTGGAATGCAGTGGTGCAATCACGGCTCACTGTAGCCTTGACCTCCTGCATTCAAGTGATCCTCCCACTTCAGCCTCCCAAGTAGCTGGGACCGCAGGCATAAGCCACCATGCCCACGTCTGGTTAATTTTTGGTTGGTCTGTCTTTCCTTTTTTTCCCTTTAGTTTTCTTTTTTTCTGTGACACAGACTCAGGAGGGCCTGATGACATGTGCCCCATTTTTTTTGTTATTTGTAAAGACAAGGTCTTGCTGTGTTGCCCAGGCTGGTCTTGAACTCCTGGGTTCAAGTGATCCTCCTCAAATCCCAAAGTGCTGCGATTCCAAGCACGAGCTGTGGCCCCTGGCTGCCATATTCTATTTGCTAACGCAGGTGGTGGTAACATGGGTGTCTGCTCTCCCGTTACTCTTCTCTATACTCCCTTTTTTTTTTTTTTTTTTTTTTTGGTACATATGTATTAATTTTCTGTCTTTGTCCTTTCTTTAGCTGCGAGATTAGGAATCAAATTTTCTTTTAAAAAAATTATGGTCGGCCGGTCGCGGTGGCTTACACCTATAATCCCAGCACTTTAGGAGGCTGAGGCGTGCGGATTACGAGGTCAGGAGATCGAGACCATCCTGGCTAACACGGTGAAACCCCGTCTCTACTAAAAATACCAAAAAAAATTAGCCGGGCGTGGTGGCGGGCGCCTGTAGTCCCAGCTACTCGGGAGGCTGAGGCAGGAGAATGGCGAGAACCCGGTGGGTGGAGCTTGCAGTGAGCCGAGATTGCGTCACTGCACTCCAGCCTGGGCGACTGAGCAAGACTCCATCTCAAAAAAAAAATTATGGCTAACATGGTGAAACCCCGTCTCCACTAAAAATACAAAAATTAGAAAATTAGCCGGGCATGGTGGCACATGCCTGTAATCCCAGCTACTTGGGTGGCTGAGGCAAGAGAATCACTCAAACTGAGGAGGCAGAGGTTGCAGTGAGCCGAGACCGTGCCACTGCACTCCAGTCTGGGCAGCAGAGCGAGACTCCATCTCAAGAAAAAACAAAATTATGGTAAAATACATATAACATAAAATTTACCATCATAATCATTTTTAAGTGTCCAGTTCGGTGGCATAAAGTACATTCACGTTGCTGTGCAACCATTACCACCATCCATCTCCAGAACTTTCAGCTTACAAAACCCAAACTCTGTCCACATTAAAGAATAAACTCCCCATTCCCCTCCCTCTACTGCCCGGCATCCATCATTCTGCTTTCTGTCTCTATGAATCTGA